ATTTTTAGAGATTCAGACTTTGTCTTCGAGTCATTTGTTCTTGAATCAGCATAATTATCTTCAATCTAGCCGTTGAAAATCAAGAGATTGATTTTTCCTTACCAACGGGTAGAATTTCTTCATTCAAGACTTAGATAATTTTCTAAGTCTTTTCTCACTTGTCCGTTTTTTTGAGAATTCCGGTCTTCCTTGAGGCATCCGGTTCTTAGCTGACAAATCCGGAGAAGTCATTCTCAGACTTCCGGGTGAGAGAGAGATCCGCGCTAGTCTTCCGATTTGGGTGACTTAGCCTTCAGCGGGTTGTAGCGAGACATCCGGTTCTTATGTAGTCTTTCGAAACAGAGGATTTTCATCTGCTTGAGAAATCCTTACTTGTCTCTAGCTTTTCCGATTAAGATATCCAATTTCCATATCACTGAATTTGATTAAGTCTTCAGGCATCAAAACGCTTAAAGAAATATCACAACCTTATTGAAAAACTCAAGAACTTGGTTTTAACAATATTTCTAAAAAGAAAACTTACATTGAATATTGGGGGAGACCTAAAGTCCCAATTACATTCTAAATACATCATCATCAAAATCTATGATATTTTTCCCAACAAATTAGGAATCACAATAGTTTCCTTTATCTTTTAGCACCCTAAGTGTTGCATTTTAGCATTAAATTCAAATTAAAGTTGTAACAAATAGGGTTGAGTGTTTTAAAAGTGAGTTTGCTACTTTCAAGTTTAAATCATTGCTTTTAAGTCATAGCTGATCAGAACCTATTTTTATTTAATTTCATATCTTTTAATTAGCTATGTTCAAGGTGCATAATTTATTTAGAAGTGTTTAGAGCAGTTTTTTTTCTTTTCTAACTCTTTTGTCCTATGTTGCTTTTCAAGAAAAGTTAATCTTTTGGAAATCTCTTTTCTTACCTAAATTTTGGTTATCTACATATTATCAAGATGCTGAAATGAATAAATGTATATACTGGAACACCATCTTAGGTTGGCATGGGTGGCACGGCACTTTTGTCCCCTTAAGCAACAGATCCTAAAAGGAAGTGTTGTGTATGGAGAAAACCTGAGTTGGAAGAGCAAACCCCGTTTTTAGGCCGTACAAATCTCGTCCATAACCAGTTCAAAATAAAAAGAACCGACGCCATTGAGCCCAAAAAAAAGAGGCAATAAATGGCTAGGAACAAAAAAAGAGAGAATAAATAATTGAGTAAAATGGTTGTTTGAGCACTCGAGTTGATACCCTCGGAATACTTCGTTATTTAGGTCCTGGGCTATCTGGAATGGGTCTGGGGTAGCCTGGTTGAGACTCGCTACACGGGTCAACTCAAACAACTTAAAATTTAATATTAAAGTAAAGCAATAATTAAGGATGATGTGCCGGTGTTTCCTGCAGACAGTTGATAGCAAGGTTGCGGATTGGGTGAACCACATTCCTGCCGGGTCGATCCGAACATGGGATGAATTGGGATTGCGGTTCTTAGAGCATTTTGCAGGGAACTGCCGTCCCAAGAGGCATTTCACTCACCTGGCTTCAGTGCGGCAGAAGCATGGAGAATCCTTGAAGAATTTCCTTATCCGGTGGAGAAAAGAGTCCAGGGAGGTTGAAGGAACCGACGACAAATCCAGGTTGGCCATGTTCACGGCGGCATTACAATATGGTCTCCTTCATACTGATCTTACAACTCATCCCCCGGATACCTTCGAAGAAGCAATGGTCCGGGCCAGGAGGTATTGATGAGTCTTTAAATGTTATATTTTATTCTCTCATATTAGCCCGTTTTAGCATGTTCCAAATGTATTTTATACACATTTAATCACTATTATCTTCATATAGCAATTTAGGCCATCATTTATGTTTTGATCATAAATTGCATTCTTTTGAGTATTCTTTTACTTCACTATTT